TGCAGCCCCCCCATCAGCCCCAGTGCACCCCCAGCACCCCCAAACATCCCCCAGCGCCTTGGTGCAACCCCAGCACCCCGCGACCCCCGCCCGTGCCCCCCTACCTGCTCGGGCTCCCCGGGGCCGGCCGGGGGGGTCCTTGGGCCGTTAGGGGCTGCGGGGTCGGGGCTGGGTGCGGGGGGGGCCTGGGGGTCCGGGGGCCATGGGCTTCCCTCCACGCCTGGCCAGAGAGGAGATGTGGCGTTAGCGGGGTCCCCAAACCCCCTCGGCTGCAGGGCCAGGGACCCCCAGAGCCACTGCACCTGGCGAGGGTCCTGCCCTGGCACCGCCACTCAGGGGGTCACCCTGTCCCCTGCCCCCCCGGGCACCCCCTGATGCACAGACCCCCTGCACCAGCGGCCCCAGTGCACGAGGGGTTTCCCCACGTGAAAGACCCCATTGCACGAGGGGCTCCATCCCACCAGGGACCCCACTGCAGGAGGGGCTGCATTGCCCCAACAGCCCCCTTGCTGAGGGGCTGCCCCGCACACACCACCCCGCTGCACAAGGGCCTCGTCACACAAAAGGCCCCCTTGCACAAGGGGCAGCATCGCCCCGACAGCCCCACTGCCGGGGGGGCTGCACTGCACGAAAGACCCTGTTGAAGGAGGGGCTGCATCGCACCAACCACCCCCTGTTTCACAAGGGGCTGCATCACACAGAGAACCCCCCTGCACGAGGGGCTGCGTCCCACAAACGGCCCCATTGCACGAGGGACCCCACGGTACCAATCGCCCCCCTGCATGAGGGGCTGCGGCCCCCCAACGGCCCCCTCACAGCATGGGCTGCACCACAGCAAAGACCCCACTGCACGAGGGGCTCCACCACACCAACAACCCCGTTCCACGGGGGGCTGCATCCCCCGAGAGACCCCACTGCAGGAAGGCCTGGTCGCACAAAAACCCCACTGCACGGGGGGGCTTCGTCGTGCCAACGACCCCCTTCCACGAGGGGCTGCGTCCCACGAAAGACCCCCTTGCACGAGTCGCTGCTTCACACCCACGGCCCCACTGCACGAGGGGCTGCATTGCACCAACGGCCCCGCTGCACAAGGGCCTCGTGGCAGGGAAGCCCCCCTTGCCCGACGGGCTCTGTGGCACCAACGACCCCGTTGCACGGGGGGCTGCACCCCACGAAGGGCCCCGTTGCACGAGGGGCTCCATTGCACCCACGGCCCCTTTGCACGAGGGGCTGCGTCACACGGACCCCCCCCCAAAACCCCCAAAACGGCCTCCAAACCCCCACACCGAGCCCACGGCCCCAGCAGCAGCCCAGGGCTCCTGGCACAGGGGAACGGGGGGTCCCTGCAGCCCCCCCCAGCCCTGCAGCAGGGCTGTACCCCGGGGTGCAGCAGCTCCCTGGATTTCAGGCCTCCAAGCTCCCGGTCCTGCCGCACCCCGGAATACCGGGATCAGCACGGACACCAGCACGGGGACACCCGGCCTGGGGCTGCCACCACCAGCACCCCCCCTTTCCCCGGGGAGCAGCAGGGCTTCGGGACCCCTTCCCCATCCCCCGGGGACGCGGCAGAGCCAGGGATGATGTTTTCCCGGTTCCTCCGGGAGCTCCGGAGCGTGGCCGGGCTCCAGCGCCCAGCTGCTCCCGGTGTGCAGCCGGGGCCCTGGCTCCCCTCCAGAGCCAGATCATTTTCTCTCCATTCTGCCAAATTTATCGCAGGAAAATGGGCTCCGATTTCTTTTTAATGCTCGGATGGGGAGAAAAATACGCAGCGGGCAGGGACGGAGGGGAAACGTCTCCCCGGGGCCGGCGGCCCCAGGCCCTTCGCCGCGGCCGTGCCGGGGATGCCGGAGCCGTGCCAGGGCACTGCTCACCCCACCACAGCCCGGAAAACTTTTTGCCACCTCAAACGGGGGGGGGTGAAGCCGCCCCAGAGCCCTCCCTGACCAGTGTCAGTAAATATTTCATTAACCACCGCTCCGTGGTCGTTTCACCAACAGCCTCTATCGATGGCGACGTAAATGGGCCCTTATTAAATCTTCCTCCTGCCAGGACATCCACAGGGATGAATCCGGAAGGATTCAGCACCCGGGGGGCTGGTTAAAACTGTGAAGGCCCAAGGAGTCCCCGTCCCTTGTCCCTGCACCCCCAAGGGGATGCCGTGGCTGGGGCTGCATCCCCAGGGATGCTCCGGTGGGATGCGCAGGGTGGTCCTCCCTGTCCCCATCATCGTCCCCACGGGGACAGGGATGGGGATGGAGACACAGCAGGTCCCCTCAGGCAGGAGTTCTGCTGGCCACGCTCACCGTGTGTCCTTGAGACACGGGCCTGAGTGTCCCTGCTCCCGGCAGCTCCCGCCAGGATGTGACACAGCAGCAGGATGCCCGCGGCCACAGCCGGGTGTCACGGCGTGGCACGGGGGGTCCCACCGTCCCCCTGCCACCCTTGGGGCTGGGACACGGGCACCCACCCACTCTGCAGTGTCACTTGGGTTGTCACCGAGGAGATGGCTGGGGACGGACCCGCGGGATGGGGACAGCAAAGGGGTCCTAAGGGCGACCCCGGTCACGGCAGCACCTCCACACCCTGCACAGAGCACGGACACGGGTGGGGGGACACGGCTTAACCCCCCAGAGCTGGGCTGCAGCAGCCCCCTGTGCCCTGGGGGTGGCTGTGGGGTGGCAGTGGGACCCCCCACTTCCCCCCCGTGCCCCGAAGCAGCGACACTGCCTTGGAGCAACTGCAGAGGAGGAGGGTGCGGCTAAAAATAGCGGCGGGCGGCCGAAAGGCTCCCCGCGGGTGATTTATTTATTACCCGCCCGCTAATTCCTGCCTGGGAATCACGGCCCGGCGAGGGTGGGGCAGGAATTTGGGGGAGCAGCGGCCGTGCCAGGGCTGTGCCCAGGGGGACAGGGGGACGGGGAAGCAGGGAACCCCCTGGCCGTGGGGCAGGGGACGGGGTGCTGGGGGCAGCGGGGCCCACGCGGTGACCCTGCCCGGGGTCACGGGGGCTCCCCGCCAGCCGCCGCCGCGGCTCGGGCATTGCCGGGGCACGAAGTGCATCAGACCCCCTGCGGCCCCCCCCCCCGTCCCCAAAAATCCCCCGCGGCAGCCCCGGTTCCTCCCGCCGCCGCCAAGCCCTGGCCATATGTCCCAGGCTGGGGAGCATCTGGCGGTGCCGGCGGGAGCCCCCCCCGCCCCCGCCAACGCCACTGCCCACCCGCCGGCACGGGGCGGGCTGGGGGTGCCACCGCCGCTGCCCCCTCCCTCGAGGGCAGGGCAGGGGCGTGAGCGTGGTTTGGGGGGACACCAAACCCTCTGAGGCCCTCGGGGCAGGAGGAAGCGCCGGGACAAGGCCACCCGGCTCCCAAAGAGCAGCAGCACGATGGCTCAGCCAAGCCCTGCCACAGCGGGACCCCCGGCGATGCCAACAGCCGGGCCCCCCGTGCCCCAAGTGCCCCGTGTCCACCCCGGCACGGCGAGGTTGGTGCGGAGGGGCAGAGCCTGGCACTGGGGGGATCCACCCGACCCAGGATCAGGCCTGTTCCCGCCCGTGGGGTGCCCGTGGGCCCCACGGCGCAGGGGGAGGCACACGGGCTGGCACGCACGCGGGGACACGCAGGGACACGCGGGGACAACCCGAACCTCCCCAGCCCCGACGCGGTGCAGGGGAATCCCCGGCTTGTCCCGGGGTCTCCCCGAGAAAATCCCTCCCCTGAGCCCCACGGAGACGCCCTGGGGCCGGATCAGGCCCGGAGGGACACGGGGGGCAGCACCGATGTTCCCAGGGGTGGCAGAGGCAGCCAGGGCCCCCCTGCCACCCCCAGCCCAAGGGGGATCCCCTCCCCAGCCCTCCCACCCCAGGAGGGGACACGCAGCCGGGGACACCCTATACCTGCGTGGAGCCAGACGGGTGCCTGGGGCTGGGGCGGGGGGTCCTGCGGGGTCCAGCGGGGGGGTTCGGGCTCCCCACGCCCCCCCTTCGCCGCCACCGCGCCGGCGTCCCCAGACAAAGCCGCCGCGCCGGGTTCTCCCGCCGCCTCCCCCACGCTCGGCTCAGCCGAAGGACAAAGCCGCTCCGCCTGGCTGCCCCCGCAGGGCCACCGCCGACCCCCCGCCCGGGGCCGCCCGGGGGGCACACGGGGGTCCCCACCGCCCCCGGCACTGCCACAAACCCCTCAGAGAGGGGGGGCTCCCCCAAACCTCGCGAACGCCCCGGTAGAGCCCCACGTCCCCGCTGCAGGGTGGGGGGGTCCCCAACAACGCAGAGGGTTCCCCGCAAGCCCCCCGCGGTTCCCACCCTGCACAGGGACCCCCAGGGGTGGCTCAAGGTCACCGGGAAGGTCGTGAGAGGCAGGGAGGCCCCCAAGGCCTCGATGGCTGTGCCAGACACGGCAGGCGCTGCCCGGGCGCTCCCTGGCACGTCGAGGCCACGCGGCGCCAGAACCCACCGGGAGCCCCTGGTGCCCACCCTGGGCTTGGGACCGGCCCGGGGTCCCACCAGCCCAGAGGTGTCACCCCAGTGTCACACCTGGATCGGCCAGGGCTGGTTGTGGCAGGGGGGGTCCCCCTGGTTTTGGTGAGGGCTGAGCTTGGTGCCACCCTGGTGTCCCGGTGCCACCCTGGTGTCCCGGTGCCACCGGTGAGCACCGAGCACTCCCAGCCCCTCAAACCTGCTCAGCTTCAGTGCCCCCAGCCACACCGTCCCCAAGGGTGGGGACCCCCCAAATCCCCTGACTCCGGCAGCTGGGGATTACCCTGAGCAGGCAAACCCTGCTGGGGGGGCATCCCCAGTGTCCCCATATCCCAAAAACCTGCAGGGAGGGCGACCCTGGTGTCTCCACACCCCAGAAACCAGCAGACAGGACATCCCTGGTGTCCCCACACCCTGGCACCACACAGGGAGGGCATCCCTGGTGTCCCCAAACCCCAAAAATCCACAGACAGGACTTCCCCGGTGTCCTCACACCCTGACACCACAAAGGGAGGGTGTCCCCGGTGTTCCCACACGCCAAAAACCCACAGACAGGGCGTCCCTGGTGTCCCCACACACCGACACCCCTCAGGCAGGACATCCCCGGTGTCCCCACACCCTGACACCACAAAGGGAGGGCGTCCCCGGCGCCCCCGCACTCCGAAAACCCGCAGACCCCGGCGCCCACACACCCCAAAAACGCGCAGACGGGGCACCCCCGGTGTCCCCACACCCTGACACCACAAAGGGAGGGCGTCCCCGGCACCCCCGCACTCCAAAAACCCGCAGACCCCGGCGCCCACACACCCCAAAAACGCGCAGACGGGGCACCCCCGGTGTCCCCACACCCCTCCACCCCCCCGCTCCAGGGAATGCCACCCCCGGGGTCCCCCCCGCTGCCACCCCCGGGGTCCCCCCCGCT